GGAGGGGGGTAGAGAGAGAGAGAGAGACGCGGGAGGGGGGGATAGAGACCATTAAGAAAGCAAGCACAGGAAGTCTCTGAGAACATTACACGACTATCTGATTTCAAACTTATCATACCCGAATTGCAGAATGACTTGGGCCACTTAAAATCACGGCAGAAGTTTGTTCAGTTCAGAAACGGGTAGAAAATGTTTTCTTCCTCCCTCCCAGCGGATTCCTAGTTCGTAAGACTTGGCTCCTTCATCGTTCACAGCCCCCTGCCTTGAAGGGCCCCTTTCGTGTCCACGTTTCACCCCCAAGTAGAAACACGCAGCCTCTGCACGCACCACCACTGGCCGTTTGCCAAGCTCACAGCGAGCAGCAGTCGATAAAGACTTGTATCATCTGGGTTTTGTCTCACCACCCGGCCAGGCTGGCTGACAGCCTGCGTGCACACGTCGCTAAGAACAACACCTCAGTGCTGTCCCCAGAGAGCTCTGCTCTGCCACTTCTCACCTAAGTCCCTGGAGAATCCCCCCTCTCCAGGGGAGGGGAAAGGACATCTTACACTGGAAGCCTTTTGTAGTTAAATGCTGAGCAAACCACCATAATACTGTTCTAAGGCTGCCTAGCTGCTGTGTCCTGGAGGACTGTTCACCTACATAAATTTAGCCAGTTCCCCCATGCGGCTCCCTATAGTGGTTCCCTGCCAAGGGCCTGTACACATAACAGTCACCAGTATAACTTAAAAGACACAAACAGCCCTAACCGGTTTGATTCAGTGGATAGAGCATCGGCCTGCGGACTGAAGGGTTCCAGGTTCGATTCTGGTCAAGGGCATGTGCCTTGGTTGCGGGCACATCTCCAGTGAGGGGTGTCCAGGAGGCAGCTGATCGATGTTTCTAACTCTCTATTCCTCTCCCTTCCTCTCTGTAAAAAATCAATAAAATATATATATTTTTTTAAAAAAAGACACAAACAGATTCCAGACCCCTCTCCCCACCCCCAACCTACTGAATTCAATTGTCCTGGGTGGAGCCCAGGATAGTTAAATTCTTTTTAAAAGATCAGATGAATCTGACTCTCATTCCTGGTTAAGAACCACTGTAATGTCAAATTAAGAAACTGTTTCTTAATATAACATTTACATATTCATGAATCTACTTACTTAACATAGGCTATGTATGTCACCAAACTCAAGGGGTTCACTGCTTTGGGGTACTTTATTCAAAAATGAGACATGGTTGTCCCAAGGTAGTTTTATTTACTTGCAGCAAGTAAAGAAGATGAGGATTTATAACTAAAGCTCTGTCTCCTGGAAGGGAAGGTTAGCCATTGCTTAGATACACTATTTGGTCACTTTGGTGTTGTTTTTTGATGTTTGTGTGGGTTTTTTTGCAGTTGGCTACTTTCATCCCCTTGAAGTTCTTGTCACCTCATCCTGTTTACTGTTACATCTGCAAAATACTATGCTACATTTTAACATTAAGCAAGAAATAACATTTAGTAAGAATGGCCCAAACCTTGAGACCCTTGACCTATCTAACACGTGGGGTAAATAATTGTGGAGTTAGATATCTGTTCAAATCCCAAGCTGTGTGACCTTGAACCCATTGTTAATTTCTGTAAGCCACAAATTCTTCACCTGCAAAAGTACCTTTCTCAAAGGGTTATTAATATTAAGGCTAAAGTATCTACCTTATATGGCTGGGTAAAGATTATATGACTTAATACTAGTTTAAAAAAGACTGAGAACACACTACACAACTAATAAACTTTAGCTGCTATTAATATTATCTTCACCTGATGTTACTTTTCAAACTATTATGCTTAATAAAATAGTCACCAGAGGGAAGCGATCACTCCCTAAATATTAAGTACAGTGAAGTACTCCTTACTCTTCCCAGTACGTGCTCACTCAACATTACCCTGTGGTTTTTCATTTTTAAACTGATAAACTATGTTACTGTTAAAGGGACACTTTGACTTCTTAAAAGCTTAAGTAAATTCTTTGCCAAATTTGCTGCTGGCCTTACCGGGACCAGGTTGAGCTTCTTGACCCCACCATCACTTTCTGGTCCTGCCCTTTAAACCAATACGGTTCAGGGAAAGGGAGACCTCTTGTGGCCAGAGGTGCATCAAAACAGATTTTCCTTAGGAAAAGGAAGTTCTTTCCACCAAATGGAATTTACTAAAACTTGGAGTGAATTTAAACTGTTTTAAAAGTATCTACCTCATTCCTCTTTTTCCCAGGTCTTTTCTTGCTCTATGGTTCTTTGGTCGGATGGGGTAGTCACTGTGTCCTGTGTTTCCTTCTCAACTTAAGCGTGACTGCTGACTGGTTCCTTATCTCCTCCTGAGTCCAAGCCTTTATAATGGAGAGAAGGGAACTGAAAGTCCAGAACAGAGAGGACTGCACATGGAAACCCACCTGAGTTCTCAGCGCTGAAGACTCAGCGGAAGAAGCCTCATCTCCCCAGACCAGGCTCCTGGCTGGTTAGGTAACTTCCCATGCTGGCTCCTCCCCCCACCTGGGCGGTGTTTTGAAGCAAGGATTATCTTCATTCCAAAACAATGCATGAACACCTACTCTGTGCCTGGCACTCTGGCTCATCTTTGTATGCCCTTGCCTGCACATAGTGGGTTCCCCTAATCTCTCTTTCTCCTTAGCATTTGGCAGCTGACAGCTCCCTTCTTAAAATGCTTTTTCATTTGACCTCTAGAACTCCTCCTTTGGTTGTAGTCCTGCTGATACTACTCAGTTTTCTGCTGGTTCCTCCTCATTCCCCTGCCCTCTACACCCTGAGAATGTCCCAGAGCTTGGTCCTTGAGCTGATTATATACATTTGCTTCCGAGGTGATCTCCTTCAGTCTCATAGTTTAAATATAAGCATCCTGCCCTAACCGGTTTGGCTCAGTGGATAGAGCGTCGGCCAGGGGACTGAATGGTCCCAGGTTCGATTCCGGTCAAGGGCATGTACCTGTGTTGCAGGCACATCCCCAGTGGGATCAGCAGGAGACAGCTGATCGATGTTTCTCTCTCATCGATGTTTCTAACTCTCTATCCCTCTACCTTCCCCTCTTTAAAAACATCAATAAAATATATTTAAATAAATAAACAGGTAAGAGTTTCTAGTCATCCCTTTCTCCATTCTGGTGGTCCTGGAAGAGGACCCTGGGCCAGAGGGTGGTCCCACACAACCAATGCAGCCTGTGTGCCTGCCACCAACTTAACAGCTCTACAAGATGTCATAAGCATCTCAGACTTAATGAAATCAAAACCAAATTCCCAATTTCTTCTCCCAGACCTGCTTTCCAAGTTATTAAAACCATTGGAATCACCTTTAATGCCAATCTGTCTCTCACACCTGATGTCCATTAGCAAATCACTTCAGCTCTGCCTTCAAAGTGATTTCAGAACAGCTCTCTCCTGTACTGCCAAGTGCCCAGGCCACTGGAAACTATTGCCTGATTTACTGCAATAGCCTCCTAACTGCTCTCCTTGTTTCCTTCCCTTGCTCCCCCTAGTCCAGTGGTCGGCAGACTCATTAGTCAACAGAGCCAAATATCAACAGTGCTTCTTCAAAATAGACTCGCCCAGGCCGAAAACCGACTTCTGCGCATGGGCCAAGAAGTTTCAATCGCACTGTACGTGTGCCCACACGTGGTATTTTGTGGAAGAGCCACGCTCAAGGGGCCAAAGAGCCGCATGTGGCTCGCGAGCTGCAGTTTGCCAACCACGGCCCTACTCCACACACAGCAGCCAGTGCTCTTTTAAAAGGCCAGGTCTTTGCGGCTCAATCCCCAATGTGGGGCATGCAGGAGGCAGCCCACAAATGATTTGATGTTTCTATTTCTTTCTCCCTCTCCCTTCCTCTGTGAAATCAATTAAAAAAAAAAAAAAAGCCCAGCCAGCGTGCTCAGTGGTTGTTTTTTTTTTTTAAAGAAACGGGTGCCTGTCCACAGCAGAGCTTCTGCTCTTTTGAAGTCTTAAATCGTTTAAATTAAAAAAAAAAAAAAAGACAAAAAAATTTAAACAAAACTGAAGGGAGAAAACGCAAACAAAGCTTCACATTGCTGGAGCTGCAGCTGTCGGGAGATGGCCGCCAGCTGGGCACCTGTACCCTCTGCCTTCCTCTGTGAGACTTGACGAGACTGTGGGTCCCGGGGATCAACCTAGTTTAAAAACAACCAAGATGCTTTGCCCTGAATTTTAAGCCGCACATGTGACCTGGTCCATTCTGGTTTCAAGTTCAAAGGCATCAGGCCAGTCCTGTGGGTTAGCAGCTAACATATCTTTCAAGAGCTGCGTGATCCCCTCAGACATGGAAGTCCTGCGTTTCTGGGGGATGTGCAACTCCATCTTTGGATTTTCTAGCAGCGCCTCACCAACAGGGACGATCTCGGTCCCCTGTTTGATATAGGTCCCCAGGAGCTCCTTCTTGGTCTCAGAGTCAATGAAAGTGATTCTTTCTATCATTGCCCAGATCAGCCGTGGGCACACTACGGCCCACGGGCGGGATCCGGCCAGCGGCCCAAAAGAGCGGAGGGTTCTCTTGCTCTCCCCTCCGCTCCTTCACCAGCAGCAGTGTTAACATGTATTAGTTCACACAAACACTCCATCCATGCTTTTGTTCCGGCCCTCCGGTCCAGTTTAAGAACCCATTGTGGCCCTCGAGTCAAAAAGTTTGCCCACCCCTGCCTGC